AATATACAATCAGAACTTTATCCTATATAATTGTGTCATTATCAATCACAAGTTCCTAACTTTTATTATATTTTTAGTATTCCTCAAATGAAACCCATATGAAGAGATTAATCCTACTCTTAATTATGAAAGTTTACAAATTACGTTTCAAATAACTAGTGCTTCCTTGAACTATGAATTATCAAAACAGTTTATGTCATTTTGATGTTTGGATTGGATCTATTTGAATCGTATGAATAAAAGCTTGTGAATTGTGTTATTCTGGAAAAATGCCTTATAACTCCAGTTTTAAGCTTATAAGGTTTTGCCTAATGCTTTTCAGCTTATAACCCCACCCTCAATAATTGTTTTTTGACATACTTTTATTAATGTGTAATGTGCAGAAAAAATAGTGTTGGAGGGAGAGATATCAACTTCAAAAGGGCCAAGGAATGGGTATGTCTTATTTAGAGAGGAATTTGCTCAAGGGCAAAAATTCAAGGGTGCAGTAGATAGAACTAATAAGGCGAAAGAGGCATGGGCAAGGCTGTCTATCAAGGAGAAGAAAATATATAGTGAAAGGGCTAAACAAATGAGGCCAGAGAAGAAGAAAAGTAAGAGAATATGGAAAATGTTCACTTGTTGCTCTGTTAATCAATTCATGTCACTGGTGGAATTTGTTAAAAGTGATGAAAGTTTAAGATAAAGGATAGAGAACATAGGATTCTTTAAGTTGTTGAATGTGGATTGTGACAGACTCCCACGGGAGTTAATTGTAGCTTTCATTTAATTGTACGATCCAACAACACATCAATTCTGATTGAGGGGAAGGACAAAGAAGTTGAGGCAAATGATGTGGGAACATTGCTTGGTGTGCCCCATAGTGGGCAAGAGGTAAAAGGAGATGTTGATGAAAATCATGACACATATAAGAAGTTGAGGAGAAAGTATGGTGATATTGTTTATAGCAAGATATTAGCTGACATAAAAAGTAGGACGGATGATGAGCATTTCGAATTATTATTTATATTGGTCACACTTGGCACATTTCTAGCTCCAACTTCAAGTGCAAAAGTTGGTGAGAAGTTATTAAGGGTGGTGTGTTCAACTATGAATGGATATGAACAGTATGATTGGGCGACGTACATCATGAATGACCTCTATAAGGAAATGGAAGATTATGTGAATTTGTTCAGGAAGGAGAGGGATCCGTGTTGCACTGTGGGTGGCTGCCTGTACTTCTTACTGGTATGTTTATAGTTAAACATGTTGTTCAATATTGATGTAACTGTTTAATTCAATTGGCTAATATGGTGTATTCTATGATTGTGGTTGCATCTATATTTGGGTGAGAAATTCCTATTGTCAAAAGCTACTAATCATGACCCAACAAATGCTATTGCATATTGGACGGACCAGAGAATAAAGGAATTGGTCAACAAAGAGTGAAAGAGTAACATAGGCCTATTGTGCAAAGGGAAGTCTACAAAACTGCCAGAAGATACAATAAGTGTTGCTTATCTACAGCCGGTATGTTTATAGTTTTGTAAGTATAAACTTCATTAGTATGTAAAGAGTTTAACTATTTAAGAAATGTGTTACACAGGAATTGAAGGAAGTGTATCGAAGGATGATGGATGCACTTGAGGAAAGCTATAAAAGGCTTAGTAACCAATTTGCAGAGGAGCTTATGAAGGTGCAGCTCCATCTACAGGGGATGCCAAGTTCAAATCTGAGGGACCCTGTTGACAACACAGGCGATGAGGTAGTGATTCTTCCATATGATGGTAAAGGTGAAGAAGGAGGTAGTGACAAATGCGATAGTGATGGAGATACTGCTGAAGGTGAAGCCCATGATCAGGAAAGAGGTAGTGATGAAGGTGATGACAATGGAGAGGAAGGAGACAGTGAGAAAGGTGATGCTGATGGAGATAAAGTTGATGATGATACTAATGATGATAGTGGGGGGGATGAAATGATTGATAGATCACCCACCAATGTTGTGTACGATGAAGGAGATAAAGGAGTGGAGTCGTCAGATGAAGAGGCTGATAAGGGAGAAGAACGAAGGACATCAAAGAGAACAATCATACCAAGTCGTCAAATAACTTCTCAGTGGATTTCCATGTTGAAGCCCGTTAAGAGGAGAAAGAGAGTTATAACTGAGAAGGACAAGTTTTTCAACATTGTCTCTCGTATCTGTTCATGGGAGGAGGGTGAGAGGTAAGATATACCGTGCAATTTACATTGGAAGCAGGAAAGTTTTTTCATCTTAATTTGTTATTTCTGTCAGACTTACCTATGATGTACACATTATAGGATAATGGTTACAATGTGTGATGAACAAATTGATTGGGATCAGTTGCTTACGATAGGTGGAATCGAAAGAGTGAGTAGCCCTCTGATAATAATGGTCAGTAGCACATTAATGGCAAAGGTAGGTGAGGGAGGACAAGTAAGGCGACAAATTTTTGATACTGAATTCATGGTGAGCTTTGTGGTATCTATGTTTTTTTTTTTGACAAATAGGGGTTCTGACGATTAAACTAATATGTTGTTTTGCAGATAAAAATGCTTGGTAACCCTTCACGGTGGTGAGTATCAGAGAACAAACGTACAATTTTGCCACAGCATACCGAGTATAACCTAGATGACTATGATTTAATATTTGGACCTGCAATTGTTGATTCTCACTAGTTTTGCTTTGTGTTGGATCCAAAAACCATGTATTTTTATGTCCTAGATTCCATGAGGCTGACTAATGATATGCCAAAGAAGACCAAGAAAAAGGATTCGTTGGAAGAAAAAAGGATGTTTCATCTTCATGCATGTGTAAGGACTAAACTAATATATCTGCGTATGACAAGTTTCCAACGATTCCACCACCAGCGTACTCATATTTTGGATTTCTGTTTTTCTGTTTGCAGAGAGACAACTTTTATGACATAATTGCATTAGTCAGACCTGAACTTGTTGGGAAGAAGCCTAAAAATGATATTATTTTTCCACCTGTGCCGCAACAGAACAATTTGTATGCTGTGTTGACTGTTGACATTGTTTTTTAATTTAAGATGTGAATTGGAGAAGCGATTGTACTAACTAAAATGTTTTATTTCCCATTGACTGTATAGGAGAGATTGTGGCGTTCATGTGTTGATCTGGCTAAGCAAATGGGTCTCGGTTGTGACATTTGACTTCAATGAGGTATGAAAGCTGTCTGTAATTGATGATTAATTAATTGCCCGATTTGGTGGATACTAACATGTGCACTTGTCTTATACGCAGAATCATGTAGCTAAGTTTAGGCGTGATCTAATGTGGTGGCTAGTTAATCATCCACTGAATTCAAGTCGGGATGAAGCCTTAACTCTCCTTTCAGAACAGCAGAAAAGACAACCACCAAAAGATGACGTTTGTCATAGTACTTATTAGGAGGTTCCTTGTGCATGTCTAATATGACAATCTGATGTGGTTGCATCTTATTTAACTTTGGAGAGGATTTATGTACATGGCAGAAGGACTGATTTCAATATTACTAATTGTGTGTTGTTAGCAACAGATTCTCACCATTTGAGACATTAGTAGTCAGAATTTATGTCAAATTTTACAACTCCAGTATAACTATTAACAACATCTCTATATATATTTACCACTTTAGCATGAGTATTCACAACAGTAATTTGAAGATAGAAAAAAGACTTGCCTGTTATAACTTTCGTTAAGCTTTTAACAACTCCATTATAAGCTTTTCACAACTCATGTATACCTGTTAACCACCTGCTTTCCTGCCTACTTGCACCCTCGTTGGATGGCCTGTATAAGGATCCGGGGAGAATTTTACAACTCCAGTGTAGGGATTAACAACATCTTTATATATATTTATAACTTCAGTATGGCTATTCACAACAGCATTTTCAAGAAAACATAAACCCCTTTTAACAACTTCGGTTAATATTTTAACAACTCCATTATAAGCTTTTCACAACTCATGTATACCCGTTAACCACCTGCTTTCCTGCATGCTTGCACCCTTGTTGGATGGCCTGTTTAAGGATCCGGGGAGAATTTTACAACTCCAGTGTACGGATTAACAAAATCTTTATATATATTTACAACTTTAGTATGGCTATTTACAACAGCATTTTCAAGAAAACATAAACCCCTTTTTACAACTTTGGTTAATATTTTAACAACTCCATTATAAGCTTTTCCCAACTCACATATACCCGTTAACCACCTGCTTTTTTACATGCTTGCACCCTCGTTGGATGGCATGTTTAAGGAGCCGGGGAGAATTTTACAACTCTAATGTATGTATTAACAACATCTTTATATATCTTTACAACACCGTTGGATGGCCTGCTTCAGCATCTGGGGAGAATTTTACAACTCCAGTGAATGGATTTACAACATATTTATATATATTTACCACTTCATTATGGGTATTCACGACAGCATTTCCAATAATGAATAAATCCACCACATTACAACTTCAGTAAACCATATAATAATGCCAAAATAAGCTTTTAACAACTTGAGTATATTTTTTCACAACTGTCATAAAAGGAAATGATCAGTAATGCTAATTTGTTAAACTCAGTTCATACAAAGATCATACTTTTTTTTTTACCAGCACATACAAAGATCATACTTAAAACGTTAAACATAAGGCAAGAATATCAAACATGAATAATAAGTGGACTCGTCTTGCAACTTCTGTCATGGTTAACAACACACTTAAAGGAAATAACAACTTCAATATAAGGTATTTCCCTAAAATCATATCTTTCGTGACAATACTTACAATCAATGACAAGTTAATGTTAATATTCCATCCCCACTTAATGTTTTCTTCTCACTGACGTCAAAATACATATTTTACTGACTATGTCTAACCTATAATATGGATTTATCACATGGCACAACCCTTCATCTAAAAAAATATGAAGAGTTACAAAATATTTACAAGCCACAACAAAAAATGACCTTTACAAAATAAATCCACATGCGGACCACCAAGTTTAAATTGGGTTTGGATTTCTACATGTTCTTTTACTGTGCCTAGCTTCATGACTCCGTCCACAGTGGTAAATCTTCCTATTTTGGAATTGGGATTCTCGCCTTCTAATTCTTGGCCTTCCAGAAGGTCTACTAGTTGTAGGTGGATATAGCAACACTTGATTTGTTATGTTTTCCAGCATATAATCATTAGGATTAGGCTTGTCAATTGTCACTACTGGAATCATGGTGTTCCCATAAATCTTCTCTTGGGATGTTATTTTATAACAGTCCTCCATAAAATCATACACATTTGCATGGACTACCTTTATTGTAGCACAAGCATGTGGACACAGAATCCCTGTCATTTGCCATGTAGCACAAGTGTATTCATATGACTGAATATTGACATATAACGCTCCACGCATAGTATGTACACAGACCCTACCACCTCCATAAGGTTCAGCATGCATATGAACTGATCTAGCCACATTTTCCATCACCTTTCCATCAATGTTTGGACCCATACCATTTCTCCAGTTTCCCATTGCCATACTTGCTGCGCACATCTTCCTTGCAATCTTCTCACGATGTTCATGAATAAGTTGGGCAACATTATGGCGCCTCTCCTTTACGATCCAAGCATTGAATGACTCAGCAAGGTTCGTTGTTATGTTATCCCACCGTTTATATGAAAACTTGCTCATTGCCCACTTATGCATATCACCATGATTGTCAAGCCACTGAAGTAAATGAGGACTAAAATTTCCCATCCTTGTCATTGTCTTATCAAACTGAAAGTTAACCCTCGCATATGCAATGTCATCAAGCAACTTTAATCCAACTTCCTTACTAATACCGCTAATTCTCCTCCTATCTCTATATAATTTATTCATTTCAAAGCTGAAATTTTCCTTCACATGCCTATAACAGTATGCATGACTGTTACCTCCAAATATTGCTCCAACAGCTCCTATTATTGCATTGTGACGATTTGACACAATAGTTAATTGGATTGCACCAACTATCCGTTTTAACATATTTGGGAACCATGCCCACTCCTCATAAGTCTCTCCATTCACAAGAGCATATGCGAATGGTAATAATTCATTGTCCGCATCATATGTTGAGGCTGATAGCAGTGTTCTCTTATATGGTCCACTCAAATGTGTTCCATCTATGTACAGTATATGTCTTGCCCCAGAAAAAAAACCCTCTACACAACAACCATATGCTATGAAAATGCGTCCAAATATGTTGTTAACAGTTGCTAACCATTCAGCAACCGTCTTCCCATCGGTTTCCTTCAATCGTTGACATATCCATGGTATCAACATGTATAACTGTTCAAGCCTCCCTTGTATTTCCTCTAATGCTTTTTTCTTAGCCCTATATGCCTGCTTATATGTCAACTTCACACCATAATCCCTTGCCAAGGTCCTCCTTATTTCATTTAGATGCTTATTTGTGTGATCCCTTACCTCCTTAATGATAATTGATAATGTCAAAGCTGCTCTTCCACCACGTGTAACTTGCATAATCTCTTGGGCATTATGCATATGTTCATTTCTGAGTTGAGTTACAATGAGAAAAGGACTTCTCTTCGCAGTTGCTCTTGCTATTATCCGTCAAGGACAACCTTCAACATTACGGGTGTGTTTGGATGAAACCAAACCATGGTTTGGAGAATAGCTTCTGAAAAAAAATAGATTTTGGGAAGAATAGATTTTGTGAAAAAGTGATTTTGAGAAGTGTGAGTGTTTGGATAGTTGTTATTAGAAGTACTTTTTATATATACAAATTGGCATAAATTAATATGATAATTATAGAAAAAATATATTTTATGATATATTTTAATTTGAAGGAATAAAATTGTTAATAATATATTTTTTATTAACATATATTAATAATATATAAGATAATATAATTAATAAATAATTAATATGTATATATATTTATAAGATATAAGATTAAATATGTTTATAAAAAATATGTTTATAAAAAAAACAAGATACATATCCTATAGGCTCTCACACTCTCCCTTTTTTCTCTAAAAGTAAAAAATTTCTGCTTTTCCCAAAACCATGGTTTTGGAGTCAAAACCATGGTTTTGAACCCAAACCATGGTTTTGATTTTTTTAAGGGTGTTTGGCTAACATTTTTTCCAAACCATGGTTTGGGTCCCAAAACCATGGTTTGGGGTGCTTGCCAAACACACCCACGTTTCACATGCAAACATTCCTCACAATTTTTAACATATTTGTACTTGAAGTTTTCTGCAATACTAAACTTATATACCGCCTTTTTGAATTCTATAGCATTTGCAAAAGTTTACTCCTTTCCTAACAACAATTCCTTCCACTTCACAGCATTCATCTCGGGCATGGGTGTTGGTGCAATTTCTACTGTACTTACTAGCCTCACATGACATCCCTTACCACTTTCTCTTACACGGTCAACCCCATTTTCGTCACAAACAGTTCCGTTTATATTATTCTGGCAACTTGACAAAAAATACCTTTGTTGTGACAGTCCCAAGAAGTTGTCAATGCTGCATGCATGATTACAACTTTTGTTAGGAAATTCACAACAACAATATACTACTAATAAATAGCAACTGCAATAACCATGAAAAAACATATCTCACATTTGTGGATCATCCATTACTTTTGGTGTACTCTCCTTTGATGCTAGATACACATGTGCACTAGTGTCATTGTACTGAAAAAGATTATCAACTTCACTATCATTAACCAAATCTACTAATACCTTATCATTGAAGCTCACTGTATATTTCATGTCACAAATATTAACATCTATATCAAACCATTCCAATATCATTAACCTTAACTCTTCATGTCTTATCCCTTGTTTTATCATTTTAACTCTCACACTCCTACCATTGTATTTCATTTCACCTTCAACATTGTTAACAAAGTTTCCACCAAGATGAAAAATCAAAGCAAATGTCTTTGAATATGTTGACCCAATATTGCATGTCATTTTGCATTATACCCTGCAACAAACAAGGAAAATATTTCATCACAATGTCATCTCTGTAAAAAGATATTTCATAAACCCAACACAACCACTTTCAAAGTTAACAACTCCAATATATCATTTCACAACTCCACTTTAACTATTAACAACACACTTCACAACATCATTACTATTGATATTCAGCCTTCCTGTATACATGATCATCATGGAGTTTCTTTCAATTTCCCTCAACTACCATCTGCTATCCCCAAAAACAGATCATTATAAACACCATCCCATACTAAGCTAACTCTATCCCTCACTAACCAACTCATACATTCCAATATCTAACCATTCCCACAAGTTAAAAACAACAACCAATAGCCCAAGATGAATCAACTTACGATTGCTACAGCATCGTCTCCCTCTTAAGCTGATAAAACTAACTTGCCCAGAACCCTAACCTTATCTAACACTAATAAATTCATTTGTTCAAATTTCTAACCATTCTCACACCTTAAAAAGGAAAAGCCAACACCCCAATATGAAGAATGTATGCCTTACGTAATGCTGCACCTTACCTCCTCTGAACCCTCAACACCTCATACAGAACGTAGGACCACCAAAATGAAGAAAACAGACCGCAATAGTCATGCATGGAGGATGAAAGAGTCATATGATTTCAAAAAAACACTTGCCCTTTCGAACCACCACCTTCTCGTCACCCTCAAGCAGCTGTAATTGTGCACATTTCTCTCTTATCCTTATCGCCTATCTTCCTTCGATGTGCAGCTTAATGTGGTGCCTATATGGTGCCCACGTTTTGTATATGGTGAGGGCAATGTGGTCTTTTCATTTAACAAAATAATGCCAATTTGGTCTCATGACACCAAAACGGGATTTTGCATATTGGGCGGACATTTCTGGTATTTTGAAGTTAAAATTGCATTTTTCTGTCTTTTTCCCAATTATTTACTCATTTTGCATCCTTTTGAATTTTGCCAATTAGTTAGTTAAAAAGAAAATCAATCCTTTTCTAAGTCAATTCTTTATTTTTGATACTTAGTTTGCTTAGGATTTCAAATAAAGGCTCCTCAAAGTGAAACGACCCGAGTTTTGCACTATATTGCATTGCTTGGAGTTACTTTTGATTGGGAACCCCAAGGCGAATGACAAAGATTCCCATCAAACACTTTTAAGAACTACTCTTTGAAATTTTCAAACACCTCCTTAATTATATAATGCAAATTATTACACACATTTTTTTGGCCATTGCGTGCGCACATGTACAAGGCTAAAATATATAAAACTCAACTAAATTTTTAGTCAATTGCCTGTGTCCTCCGGCATTTTAAAGTCAAAATTAACCTCTAGTTTTTTTTTTGTCAACTTCTTACCATTACTTTATAGTTATTTTATAGATGAAAATTGTCATGTCACATAGGTAGATGACGCTTGTATATGTTTCAAAATTATGTATTTTACCAAGCTGAAATTTAAACTTTTATGCCAGACTGAGACTAAAGTATATGTTTCAAAGTGTCATTTTCCCCTTTAGCATTTTAATTTTATTGATAGGCACATGAATATTTTCATTACTAGTACTGTTAGAATCGAATTCGCAATAATGGGATGCGTAGAAGGTGCCAAAAGCATAAATAATTATTTACTGATAAAGAAGAAGGTGAATAGTGATTCTCATGGTATGCTCCGTGCCTACGTGTCAACTTATAACTGCACCGAAATAAAATTTTACCCATTACGCTTTGTCACGTGATTATTAAAAATTGCTAACTTATACTACTTTCGATCCTTAATATAAGAGTTTATTTGACTTTTATTTTGGTCTTAAGTTTAAAACTCTAATCTATTTTGTCTCTCATACTTATCCATTTTTTTCCCAAAACAGTCTTTGTAATGACGATAGTTTAAGCCAATATACTTGATTGTTAAGGATATTTTCGAAAAAACACCACTTATTTATTACAAATAACTAATTTAACTAGTTTTTTTAATCTACTCAAATTAGTCAACTAGTTCTTATATTAAGGATTGGAGGTAGTATTTTTAATCTTCTATCTTCAATCAGATAGTCCCGTCATCTTGAGTTTTGATTACATTGGGTTAGTTGTTTAAAAGTGATTATGAGGAGAGACTTCTCGGTTTGCATAAGAGTAATTTTTTTAATTGCTTATGAGAATTTTTTTACACCGCTTAAGATCACTATGTCTTCATGTACACTTTATTGTCTACATCTAAGGTTTTGTCTTCACTGGATTCATATCATCCTTCTTAGATAATAAGATAATGAAAACCATATCCAGATTTCAATCAGAAGGGTGTGGATGACGGTAGTTTCAATCGTTCACATCCTATTATTATTTATAAATTCATTTGTTTATTATTATAATTCTCCCTCATGCCATCTATGGCCTATAAATACGCCATGAGAAGCAGCAAGCAGAACACAGCAGCTAATCGTCTTCTTATTATATTCTCTTCTTCTTATATCATATCATCCGACAGTTGCAGACATGTCGTCGATTAAGATGTTAGATCCACCAGTGATGGTCGCTTTCAATTCTTCATCTTCGTCGTTGGAACAGATCAACCCTTTCACTGCAACTGATGAAGCCATCTCCAACCACATCATCGGAATCCATGACTCGCAGGCCCCCAAGTACGATGTCGGTTCTCTTTACAATGTTGTCTCCAACATTGTCAAGAGCTCCACTCACATCGGCACCTCCCTCGATCTCAAGGTTCTCAATTTCTTCATTTAAACCCCATTTTTCTTAAGAATACTTTCTGTTTATCATCTGTTTGTAAGTGTTTGTTTGTATATTATTCTGACAGCGTCCCAAAGCTGTTGAACTCGTGGAAGATAAGGTTCCACAGTCCAGTTTCATGCCACCTTTCGGTAACCTCAAAGAAATTGCTTGTCAGGTCATTCTTCTTCATTTCCATGTTCTTGTATATTCACTTTTCATATCTTTCTTTTCGAAAACATAACAAATTAGGTGGAATGGAAGCGACTCGATACTAATAAATTGATGTTATAGATGACATGCAAGCCTTTTGAGAAATCTACGGCACATGAAACAGTAGTGGGAATTCTGGAGAAGCTTAAAAGCTACTCATGGGAAGCAAAGGCAGTGATAGCTCTCTCAGCTTTTGCTTTGGCCTTTGGTGAAACCTGGCGTCTCTCTCTCATGGAACGTACCAACGAAAGTGCTCTTGAACTCCATATCTTCAGGCTTGGGGAAGAAGCCAAGCCTAGCAAGAACAACTTAGACCTCATTAACACGTTGGTGGACGTTACATCCAAGCTTATTGAGGGGATTTCAACATTGGAGAAGAAGATCGCCGACAAATCTCTTAGCCAAACTTTTGTATCATGCTCCTCGAGAACTCTATGCTTATTGGGCAATCTTGGCCCTACTTACTTGTTCTAATCGAATGACTGAACTGTGAGTATCTTAGTTCTTTCATCATCTTTATTCTTTCGTCCACATATACGTAGATCTCTTATGGTAAGGTGATAAATAGAGGAGATGAAACCAGCTTCGATCGGTGTAAGCCTTTTTTCTTTTTCGCTTGATAACCAAAAAAAAAAAAAAAGCAACGGATTAAATTGCAAACCTGCTTTTGAATTTGTGAATGTGCACCTGAGACTATAAGCTTTGCTTGTCCCAAAGCTATACATAAGCTTTTTGAAATGGAGCAAAAAAGCCGAGACTGAGAAAGAAGATGGATACCACTCGTGACAAATAAATTATGTGTTACCTTAAATATTACTTCACTACATGATGAGTATTCTAATAGTAGGTGGTCCCACTTCTATCTTTGTCTTTTTCTTCTTATTAATATTATCTCCTCAACTAAGTGATGGGAGGAATCTAAAGCTTTTTACCTCCTTTCTTTTTTTAGAATTTTTTTGAATATTTTTTTTTGAATAATATAGCCAATGTGTTTGCGGAGTTCCATTAATTAACCTCATGTGGTTTTTCAGATAGATGTAGGGATTGGAACATCAAATCCGAAGTTGTTGGGAAGCTCAATCATGTTAGCATGAGATTGAGTAATGAGTTGGCTGTGATTAAACGTGAAGAAGGTTACGGAAAAGAACTGCTTCTGGATTTTTTCAACTTTTCAATAATTATTACTTTCAAGCTTTACCAAGCTTAATCACCAGACATTTACAAATATTAGAGTTTTAATTGCAAATCACAGAGAGTGACTTATATAAGACTTGAATATCTAATTTCAACAAAAACTTTGTTGAAACATAAATTTTATTAAATTGATTTTCTCGGACTTAATTACAACTGTCTTTTTCCAGATAACATATATATCCGATGCTAACAATGCCAGCTTAATTCATTGAAATTTTCAGATGATTTTCTGGACCGAAAATGGCGAGAGGAAGTGTTTATGTCTCCTTCCGGAACTGTCGATCTTTTGAGGACTCTCATCTTCTCCAAGGAAATTACTGAGCTTGAAATCTTCGATAACACCACTCAAGAAGTGGTAAGTTCTCAGTATTTTTAAATTGATTTAAAATGTAAATATTAAATTAATTATATGAAGGGCCTAAATGAGATGTGCTTTTTTGTGGGCTAAATTTTAGGTAAGAAACAATGTTTTGAGGACGAAGAATATTTTGCTGTTCATTTCTGGTCTGGACAACATCGAAGACGAGGTTTGGGTTCTGAAGTCTATCCATGACGCATTCAAAAAAGACAAAGAGAAGCAAAATTATGAAATCCTATGGGTTCCTGTAGTGGAGGAAACTGATGATCATAAGATAACAGATGATCAGAAGGAAAAGTTCAAGCAGCTGAAATCAAACATGCCATGGTAAGTCTTACCGAACGTATTCGTGATTAAAGGCAAGAAGGTATTAGAAGAGAAGTGGCATTACCAGGGAAAGCCTATTGTGGTCGTCACAAAACCTAGAGGTCATATTGTTCACAATAATGCAATGCACATGATCTTCGTCTGGAAGATTGAAGCCTTCCCATTTCGATATGAGGACGAAGCAAGACTCTCTCTTCACTGGAAGTGGTTTTGGAATGAAGCAACCAAAGTTCTTCCAGATATTGGAAGATGGGTTAGTACTATCTTCCTAAACTTTTTCTTAACCATTTATCGATTCAATTCCCTAGACTTAACTCATTACAACTTAAAAATCAAGGAATTATATGAATTGGATTGTTACTAGATCACTATGTTTGCAGATTCAAAGTGACACATACATCTTCATTTATGGGGGGACTGATGTTGCTGGGACCCAGAGGATTGGTACGCTCTTAGACTCCATTAAGAAGGACCCCATCATCAAGCAAGCCGACTCCATAATTGAGCATTTCAACCTCTCAAAGCTTGATCAAACCTCTGCAACCAATTTCTGGGTTAACATCACCAACTCAATGTTAAGCCGACTTCAAAAGCCGAACCACCAACAAGACATTGTTCTTAAAGACATCGAAACCTTACTCTCATATAAAAACGAGAAAACTTGGGCTCTCCTCAGCAAAGGCCCCAACGTGCTGGTTATAGGGTTCGATCCCTTGGTAACGAGCGTACTGGAGGATTTCGATGAATGGAGAGTGAATGTGCAAGTTCTTCAAGGTTTTGATAATGCATTTATAAAGTATTACAATGAAAAGAGCCTTAATGTTCCTCCTCCTTGTTTCCACTTCCAAGTGAGCAACATACGATCAGGAGTTCCTTTCACTGTCACTTGCCCTGAGCCATCTTGCAAGAAGAATATTATGGAAGTTGAAACTGTTAGCTACAAGTGTTGCCATGGGATCCATTATCACCATGCATCAGAGAACTTGAACCGCGAGTTTGGGACCCCACTTTTGAAAACCAAATGGACCCCATGATCAGGGATCGATGAGCTAGCTGTTCTCCTTCTCTGTTGTCTGTGATATAATAATGAATGAATTATGTGTGCCTCTTAAGTTATATGTGTACCTTTGTTCTGTGTACTACTCTAGTTTGTTGTGTTGTGTCTGTGACTACCACGTCTCACGCGTACTTGTCTAGTTCTATATGGATGTCATGTAATCTTCGTCCACTTCAATAAATAATCAAGTTGTGAAACTATTCTGTGTTTTATCTACTATAGCAAGTTAGAAACTTGTTTTTCTCTTCTTCTTTTTTTCCGGTGAAACAGAAACTTGTTTTTCTTATAACGAAGACTTGGAGAATCTGATATTATATATCCTCACATGAAATTCTAAAAAGTAATTATCGAATGCCAAATAAGTTATATTAAACTTACTTATCACTTCATACTACCGCTGGTCCTTTTGTTAGTTAAGAATAATGAGTATGAAAAAAATGCTTAATTGAAAATGATTCTAATTTATTATTCTAGTATTTTTAACTTAGCCTTCAAAAATTCTAATTGATGACTGTCAGCCATTCACATTTTCTAACTTGTATGGGAATAAATGCATCCTTATCAGTTCCCTTTTTTCTTTTTTTGGGTTTATTGTCAGTTCCATTTTTTAATAATGTTTAATTTGTGAAGTATCCCCGTCATTTACTGACCTTTTAAAATTGTCTAAGATTTGTGTATTTCCTTATTTAATTAATTTTAATTTGGTCCTAAAATTCATTTTCCATAAATATTGATTATATATGATCCAAGATCTCACAACTAGTAGTGAAATTGCTGTGCCTGTGAGTACTTGTGATAGGACTTGATGTTGATGACAAAAAAAAAAAAACAAAACAAAACAAAACTTGTGGCTACAAAATCAAGGCTCTTCAAAATAATGGTTTCCAAGTTCCAATTCCCCTCAAGTTCCCAACAACAACTAAAACCCATTGGTTTTCAAAGGAAGAAAAAACTACTATCGAAAAATTTTAGAATCTTTGTTTAAACTTCTAAAGTAATTAGAATAATCAAAATTTTTATTATTATTATGAAAAACTACTTTGAATAACTTCTAAAAATAATCACATACCGTAAATAAAAAGATAAGAAAAATCTTTAGATATGATAAAATAATCCAAAAATCACTAAATAATAAATTATATTTTATGATCGTGACTAACCATAAAATTATTTCTACTTTTCATAAAATTGCTATTTTAAAAATTAATTATTTTTAAATTTAAATAAATAAACATAAAATCTTCTCTGCACTTTGTGTAACACCCTTTTTTTACAGACCTGATTACTTAGGCAAATTTGATAAGCATATTTGATGGGATCCTATTAATTCTAAGAAACAGATGCTATTTCAGCACCTTTGCCATTCCATTTTCCTTTTTTTGGGGATTAACTTGTGCATTATCTAGACTTTTGCAAAAGAAATTGTGCATAGACAAATGTGTAGAAGATTATTGAGAATTTCACTATCTTTAAGTTGTGAAGTAATGCCCTTAATTTGTAGCTTTGGGGTTACTCCAAAAATTAACTGAATTAATACAATATAGTGCACAATCTGGGTTGTATTTATTTTGATGAGCTGAAAATGAAATTAAATTCTAGTAAATAAATACAAGCAACCTAAACTATAAAAAGGATTTTTGATTTGAAAATTGATAATTAAATACTATGAATCAAATTAAAATTAAAATACTTTTTTATTTTTTATATTAAAATGATTAAAATGAATGTTGATGAAAGAAATGAAAATGAAACACATAAATAACAATGATAATAATCAATCCTCCAGTTCAACAACATAGGCAATCCTTACTCCAAAAGATACGGGAGATGAAACAATGAATTCAGAATTATAATCAAGCTTTTAATCCAACAACCGAGCCACCTTGAATTGCCACAAAATATTTTCCCAAAATTTCAACTTACTAACTGCAATCAGAATAGTAAAATGGGATTAAAGATGCTAAAAACCAATGCTTAATTAGAACTCTTAAATCCAAAATAACAGAATTAAAGCTAATAAGAGACAATATGATCCAAGATTCCAAGCCATCTCAGAAAATCACAATATATTAACTCCAAAATCAATACAAATATCATAACCACAATATCATAATTGAAATTAAAGCTATAAACAGCCCAATGTCAATACTAAATAATAATCCAGCCACAATAATATCCAAATATGCTCAAATTTAACAATAAAAATTTTCCAATAATCAGAATAACTATCCTAAGACCTAAGAATTATTAAACAATTATTGGACAGGAAATTAAAGTAACTAAAACTCTCTTTTGATGATCCAAGCTCCTGCCATTATTGTTGAATTAGAGAATCATGAAACTCTAGCCACTATTAGCCATGGAAAATGCTATAATCAATATTCTGCTACAAGCTTCCATGGAGGACACGGTGAAGATATCAAAGATAGCGACGGAACAGTACACATGGTGAAGACCGGTCCTTCGTTCTGTCTCTGTTCATTGACACCGAGAAGGAGAAGAAGAAGATGATGGATGGAGCCAAAGGGAGGTTCTGCCACGCCATCGCTTCTCGCTCTCTGTTGCGCCTCTGTTCAACTCCCTTTGGCTCTCAAGCTCGTGTAGCTGTGTGTGTATGCCGTCAAGCTCCTTCCTCCAGCGCCGTCAGGTCCCTGTTCGCGTCTCCCTTCTACTCACTCAATCGTGTTGCTCTCTTGCTACTGTCGCTCCCTGTTGCTCCCTCTCGTTGTCGCTAATCTCTCTGCCACCAGGAGATTCAGCGAAGAAGAAGACTGATGGAGAATGGAGAGAATATTGGATTGTGACTGCGCCGTCAAGCTAACGTGTGTCCCCCCTCGCATGCCTCCTCGTTGAGATGATGAAGAATCTGAAATTTTAGGGTGGGAGCCAAATGCTGCGTTTTGTTCACCCCCTTTTATTATTATTTACTTTTTCCTTTTTTTTAATTTATTTATTTTTGTTCTTTTATTTCTTTTTTTTTAATTTTTAAATCTTTCAAAAACCTGCAATCAAAATTCAAGAATAAGATAGCATTAATTGTCCTTAAAAATCAATTAATCACAATTAAACCAAAATATGACAATTTTGCCCCTATAAAATAATAATTTAAAATAAAATATATTAAATCAATTAACAATCAATTAAGGCCAAAAAGGACTAATTAAGTTAACAAAACCCATATAAAAGATATCAAAATATATAAAAATAATTGAGTTTGTCAACTCCCCCATACTTAGCCTTTTGCACTCCTAGGCAAAATATCAATAAGGAAGAATCCAACGGAGTAACTTAATGCAAGTAAACATAAAATCGACTAAGCAAGAATGTGCAATTAACTCAAGCAACCTTTATTCCTTATCAATCAACAATCATAGAATACTTCAGTACAAAGAAATTAACACAAGAAACATAGCAGGATAAAGGAAGAGAAACATAATAGAACTCACATAGGATACAAGTGTTTCACTCATATCTCAAATGGGAAAAATTTCACTCAATCCACCTAGATTAGCACCTACCATAAGCTTATAAAGATTCTAATGTCTCCACCACTAACATACCTTAGACTCATGATCAAGGGGACTTGAAGGGTTGTAATGTTGGAAAGTAAGGCCAAATGAATGAAATGAACTAACAAGTGAAATGCATGAGTAATAAAGTATCAACTCAAAGTGAGTTAAAGTACAATCATGAAAGAATACCAATGTGCAGATTTTAACCTTTTGAAATAGAAATCCTTGCTCTTCAAACCATCATGGAATGCTTTATTTCAAATTTTATTCTTTTGTTGCAACTTTTTTTTTCTATAACTTTCTTTTTTTGGCTTTTTCTATACATTTTCTTTTCTTTCTTGCCTTTTTCTATTTCTATTTCTTCTTTTGTTTTTTTTCCTTTCTTTTTTTGTTTTTTTGTTTTTTTTGCATCCAAACCCACGAAGGCAAAGATATAGACATTAATGATGCACTTTTCAAAATGAAAAACCAAATATAACTCATGCAAAACACTTGCTAAAAAAAACCAATGAATGGAATGAAAGTGAAGGCTCAAAGGGGTGAACAAAGGTTAAATGAAGTGGTTTGTGTTTGGGTAAAGGTTTAGAAATGAATGCCCCTATTATCTTCACAAATCGAGGTATTAATGCAACTTTGAAAAAGAATCTAGACAAGTTCTAGAGGTTAACTAAAATTAGGTAAAAATCACACAAGATGAGAAAGAATACATGGCTCAAAATCCTTCCATCAAGGCTTTTTCCAAGATGTTTCCTCCTTAAGGATCAAGCTTTGAAACAAGGTTAATAATACTGCACCAAAGGCATTCTGCTATGCTAATCAACTAAGAATAGAGATCACTCAAATCAAATGCAATCAAACTCAGCCGTGCAACATTCACAAGTATTGTGCAAAAGGATTTTAAAAGAGATACCCAAGGATTACAAAAGTCAAAAGTTAGCAACAGAGAAAACAGCAGCTCGCCCATACAGCAGTGCAGAACACTGAGGCGAATAAAAACAAGAGGACATAGAAACTAGCAGCAAAATTCTCAGGCAAGAATCACTCTCAAATCATGTGATGCAATTCAGAAATAAATCAATAAGGCAAAGAAGAGAGCAATTATAGCAGAATACTTAGGAAAGAGGAGCAAATCCAAAGGCAAAAATTTTTTTTCCCCAAAACAGCTCAACAACTCAACAACAATCCCTCCCCCACACTTGATCAATACATTGTCCTCAATGTAAGCTTAGACTAAAGATATGAACAACTAGAAGCTCCAAATGTGCAAGGACAAGGTAGGGAAAGTATTGCATACAACTAACAACAAACAATAAAACAAAACATAAGCTCCCTTTTACTACTGGCCATGTCCCTCCCCCACGTTTATCTCACAAAACAAGCAAGTAATTTAAAGAATAAGAGTTAAGGAAGGAAAAGGACAACCTTTAGAACAAAACCTCTTCAAACTCTTGTAGGAGAAGTTCTC